TATATCAATGATATGTCAATAAAAAGTAATAAAAGAAAGAGAAGAGGAACCAATGTCTGGGAGCAGTGGTTGTTTTTCCCCTACAACCGTTTAACTGCTTGGCAGAAAGCAACCCAAGGTCACTCTGGCCAGTCTTGTCTGGATCCGATTACATGGGTCACCACTGAAAACAATCACAATTACTGGGAGACTTTCTAATTACTTGGAAGATTAGCTGCCAAACACATATTCAATAGGGAATCTCTGGGTAATGTCCATGTTGTCCTGTTGTCCCCCTTGATTATTTGAGTCCAAAGGCCACCATTCCCCTCCTTAGAGTATCAGTCAGATGTTTGAAATGTTTGTTGTGCTGGCAGGAGTATGAAGGAAAAGGCTCTTTCATTGAGCTGGAAAAATACATTGGAATATGAACTGGCACACCTCTTATTTAGTCAAACGGAGAACACGTAGAGATGCTTTCAGTTTTCAGCAGAAGTGGAGTGACAGAAATCAGGATTACCCTCCTGCCTGAAATCTCAGTGCCCCTCCTCTACCCCCAAAAAAAGAAAACGACAGAACACATGAAATGCCTGTTTTCAAGAAACTGGAAATTAGGCAGCAAAGGACAGCAAACCGTGGGAGGTGAGAAACAAACAAGGCGAGCTCTGCCATTGGCCACTGATTTCAGAGTTTCCAGGCTGGGCACCAGGAGGGAGATCTGAGGCCAACTCCTTGGATTGTGGAGATGAAGCTGGATGCCTGTGGAGAGCAAGGCAGTCAGAGTTCCTAGGCCAGAGATCCAGTGATGAGAGAGATGGACAGAGAATCCAGGGATAAGGAAAGGGTCTCCCTCAAGTATTCAGCAGGCTACTGATCAGGGCATGCTTAGGGAGAAACTGCCTGAGGTCAAGGAAAGAAACTTCTGAAAAGGTCATAGAATGGTGCTTGGTGCCCACACTGGGCAGAAAATTGTACTGGCCACCACCAGCCAGGCTGGACTAGTCATAATACCTGGGGCCATTGGGAAGAACACTCAGGAAGGTCCGGTTCCAGAGGTGGAAATACTCTGCCCTAGGCAGACCTACCTGAAAAAACATAAAAGCAAGAATTGAAGGGATCAAAGTGTTTACAAGTCACTTAACTGTACCCCAAAACAAAACTCAAGAAGATTTATAGGAATACCAAAATAGCCAGTGCCCAAGAAGGTAAACTTTCAGTGACTGGCATTTGATGAAAGAATGGCAGACAGGCAAAGAGGCAGGGAAAACATGACCATAATGAGGAGAATAACCAATCTATCAAAACTCAACCAGAACTGGCAGGATGTTAAAATTAGTAGAGGCAACTTTAAAGCATTAATGATGGCTCTGTTACTTATGTCCAAGGAGTTAAGTGAAAATGTGGAGCATATGCAGGTGGCACCATCAATCTTGAGAGATGGAAACTAGAATCGGAAAATACTCTAGAGCTAATAAATTCGCCAGATAGAATTAATGTCAGATTAGACGTTGCAGGAAAAAAAGAGAAAACAAACACACATAAAACTGCAAATTGGAATTACCCATAATGAAACTCACACACACGGAAGTTTTTGAAGTGAGCATAGAGCATCAGTGAATGGTAAGACAACTTTAAAAGACCTACTATATGAGTAATTTGCAGTTCCTGAAAAGACTGGGGTAGAAGAAATAATTCTGAAGAAACAATGATGGAACACATCCCAATCATAATAAAAATTAGAAACACACTGATCTATGAGCAGAATGAACATGAAGAAAGTTACATCTGGTTACATCACTATTAAATCTCTCAAATACATTACAGAAAGAAAAACTCTCCCAAGTAGCTGGAGGAAAAAGACATGGTACTTATGGAAAACAAAAATAAAGACTGTCAGATTTCTCATCAGAAGCAGGGCGAGTGAGAAGACAGTGGGGTAACATCTTTAGAGGACTGAGGCGGGTGGGGGGAGCCAACACGGAATTGTGTCTTCGCACCCCCCCCTCACCTGCGCAAGTCTTTCAAAAATGAGGGTGAATAACCGACACCTACAGACATACAAATGCTGAAGGACTTCATCACCAGCAGACCCACCCTACAAGAAATGTTGAAGGACTCTTCCAGGAAGAAGGAAACTCATACCGGATGGAAATCTGTGTGTACAACAAAGGGATAAAGGACGGCAGAAATGGCATCTGCACGGGAAACTATATGAGAATTTTTCTTATTATTTAAATCTCGTTAGAAACTGGGACAGATTGAACAAAAGTGCTGACGATGGGTTCTGGGTTTTTAGCATAAGTAAGGTAAAACGTGGGTTTTTAGCATAAGTAAGGTAAAACGTGTGTCCTGGCAGACAGGACAGAATTGTGAAGAGGTGCAGTATGACTTGAAGGGAGACGGTGGTGAGATACAGAAGCATGCTATAAAGAAAGCCTCCAGCAGTCGCTGGAGTAACAAAAGAAAGAGTTATAGCTCATAAGCCAACGAAGGGGAGAAAATGGAATCTTATAGAAACCATGTAAACACATGACAGAGCACTTGCTCTTCCAGGACCCTACAGAAAGCCTTGCCCTAGCAGCCAATAAAGAGGTCTTAACAGCAGCATTTTTGTAACCATAAAATCGCAGACCCAAGTTAATTTAAGTGGATACGGAAAGGGTTGAATAAATACTAGGACAAACGATGGAGGAAACTCAGTCGTTACAAGGGATTCAGGGAGAGGGTAACGATAACGGTTCTACTGCACAGAAGACTTGTGAATTCCCAGCAACCTGCTGTCCTCCATAGTTCTTGCGCGAGAATCCGTAAGTGATCTTCTGACTGCGGCTTAGGTCCTGCAGTTGTGCACAAGACACAGAAGACAGGCGTGGCAGTGATGGTGTAGATCTCTCTTGCCCTTTCCATTGAGAGAAGGCGCAGAGTGGAAACTACCCCTGTGAGGGGATGAAGTAGTTTCAGACATAAAAATAGGACACAAAGCTCTCTGTAAAGTTAGCCCCAGACCCTAGTCACGTACCAACTTCTGAGAAACTAAAGAAAAAGATATAAATCCCATGAGAAACAGGATGTTCAACTAACTCCAGGCTATTTTTGCTTCTATACATTGCTTTGTCAGAGACCAGCAGTATCACACGTTTCCTGCAGCAGGTGGGCAAAACAGGATGCTTAAGCCCCCTGAACATTAAACAAGGAATATAGCTTGCTGAATTTAGGCAAAGGCAGAAAAGTTGCAAAAACTAAGCAGGATGTGGTAAAAATGCTTAAAAGGATGTTGTAACAGGGGCTCTGGCTGCACTTGGAGAGCTTGCTCCTTGGCAGGCACCGGCCGGCTAAAATAAAGGCTCCCTTTTTATAATCTACTTTTCTGTGAGGGCCTGTTTTCTTACTCCTGCTCTGGCATGCCCTATCTGAGACCCATAACATTTGGGGGCTCGTCCAGGATCGGGCATGATCGTTGAGCAGTTCTTTTGAGACCTTGAGATCATTGACCACCCGTGGGCCCACGGGTATCAGCAAGTCCTCAACTGTCAGAGTTTCTAAGGAGCCAATTGGAAATCCACCAGAACTGAGTTTGGTTCTGGTTTGAGAGCTCATTTGACTCAATGGGGAGGCTGGACCCAGCATTACTCCCCAAGTCAGGGGCAGAGGAGAGATGTCACCCTCCCCGTCTGTCTGGTTCTCTGTGGTGGCCACCTGATGTGCGTAAGCTATATAGTGTGTCTTTTATATGTTATTTTATGAGTATTGCTATCTGTAGTCATTACATCTCAATCGGCATGTTTGTGTGTCTAAGTGTGTAAATGAAAAATATTTTTCTACTTCCGGATGGTATTAATAAAAATTGATTTAAAGAAAAGTGCTTGTGCAAATTGGACATTCTAAAACTTGCAGAAAATTCTAATAAAAGATATTAAGCATTAATGCTACATTTAAGTTAAACTGAAATGGACATGTCCTTATGGTTATCAGCTGCCTAAGTTTACCTAAAGTCATTTAAGTTGATGTTATCTGCTAAATCTTTCACAAATAAAATGTTTAAAGGCTTAACTTTGTCTAATATTCAGTAAAGGTTTTGTAAGTAATCTAGCATAGTTGTTAGGAATGAGTAAACTAAGTGTAGCATGTGAACATCTTAATAATAATTGTGTTATAGTGTGTTACACTGTGTATACTTACAAACAACCTGAGAATTTTTGTAGTAACCTAAACCCTTAAAGTTTTGCTAAATTTAGACATATTTTGTGCTTAGTGAGACTGTGCTGCAAAGCACGTGATTCCAGAAATTATAAAATGTGTTCATAAATTTATCAATCTAAAGAATGCTAGTGTAGCAGTTTACAATAGCCTACTTCTCAGTGTTCACTGAAAATTAAGGCTCCTATTGGTTTTAAGTTCTAATAAAACTACTTAAAGTAATAAGGAAAACATTTCTGCATGCTAAAGAATGTGTCTTTTGATAAAAGAATGTAACTTTGTTCTAAAGAACAGCTGTTTATTTAAATAGGAAGAACTCTAATGTAAAAAGGAAGTTGTAGAAAGTTTGTGGAAGAATTGATATGGTCATGCTATATAAAATTAAAGCAAATAAGTCTCGATATCAAGTATACAGCAAAATTAGAATTTTCTTTTCAGTTACAAGGACAAAGTTTTCTTAAACAGTCTGCTCTTAATGTTGAAAGATTGCAAAGGGTTCTCTATTTTATCAAAGCAGTTTCTCATGCTTAAAATCTCAATGAGTTGTCTGAGTATTTAAGAAAATGAGATCTTAATATTAAAAGGACTAAAAGCTAAACTTTGCTAACAACTGTAAACTCTGTATTTGCCTTTGAGGGATTTTGTTGTCATTCTGGTTAAATGGATAAGTATTGCTTCATGGAACCTGTAATCCTATTTAAGCAAGTGCCAAAGAAACTTTCTTCTGACAACTTCCCAAAATCAAATTCAAAATGGTGCTTTTACCTCTAGTTCACTCTGATATTTTCCAGAGGGCCCCTGAAACATGTCAGAGGAATTTTTTCTCATTAGGGCAAGTATTTGGCTAATTTGGCTTATCAGATATATAATTACCTTCTTAATTACCTGGAAAGCACTGTCAAAGGAAATGATGCTAAACTTTGTTACTGAATATTTTGTGTTACAGAAATATCCAAATTTCCTTATGTCAATTGTCTTACAGTAAGCTTTCATCGGGACTTTAACCATTGTCATTTTTAAGTCTTTTGTCATTTATAGTCAATGTTTTATTATTCCTAAATTAGTAAAGAACTATCAGAAGAGCAAGTATTAGTTACATAGGATTAAGTAAACTAAGGAAGATGATTTTGTGGCTTTTGGTTTCAAATGTTGCAGTTAAAGTGTTTTAAGCTTTTTCTCTTAAGCTGACAACAGTTTAGTAAATTACTATCTTTATAAGCAGAATTGAAACTTTATCTTTCTCTCTACCTGATCACTGCAGAATTTAAAAACTCTCAGTGACTATTTTTATATTTCATGGCAGTATGTTTATTTGCATAAGTTCAATAAGAATCTCCTTTCCTTGTAAGAGGACAAATTAAAAACACTGGTTATATTACCAAGGCTTTGACCGGAATGTTATACCTGAGAGACGCGTGTGTAAACTCAGATATGAACAGACAGCTTTAAGGAACAGGTTGACTTTATAAAGCCAACAAAGCCCCTTGGAAGAACTGGCCTGGTACCTTGCTTACAGGGTTCCCAGCAGCCTTGCCAGGTGAGTAAGGAAGGTCACTTCCTGGCAAGTGCAGGAACCTCAGGATGTCTTGAGAACCTCAAGAAGAGAAGAATCCACCCAAATGTACAGGAACTGCAGGCACAACCTGATGGCAAGTCTGGCTTGGCTTTCTGGCGTCAAGAGGCCTTTAAAAGTTCAATCTGAAATTCCTTATAAAAAGTTCCAGCAAAGCACATTTAAAAAAGCCTATGTAATCAATTGCTCTTCTTGATGCACTTATGCAAATTATCAAGCCAAGTGTTAACTATTTTCTTAAATCTGGTTACTTCTAATAAAAATGACGGTGATGTTAGAAAAAAGTGTTGTTTCAATAATGCAGCCTTTATCTATACTAAGTCCTAATACTAGTCATTGAGACATAAACTAGATCCAGAATTCTAGTTTCCCCAAAATATCTAGCTATGATTCTCCAAATGTGTTAGTTTTCTCCCAGGATTTCATTTAAAGTTTTACTATTTCTAGTTCCTGTATTCAGGCATGCATTCTTAATCTCATCAAGTTTGCCCTCCCAGAATGGAAAATTCAACTCCATATATTGCTATTTAGCCTAATAACATGATTTGTTCTATCTTGCCTAGAAGCCATAAAACTACAAATAGTAATAGAAATGGAACCTGGAATAGAAGTGCCTATCTTCTGAGGCCCTCTCAACTGACCATTGATGGAGACCTAACTGCACCCTTTACTGCACCCCTTGTCAGCATGAAGCAGCCAGAGCGGTCATCGCCCCCTTTCCCTAGCAGCAGCTAGGGTCTCTATCTGTAGAGGGGGAAGACAGGGACCATGGGCTTAGACAGAGTAGAATGAGGGCCTCCGGAAAAAGCATGGCAAGATATTTACAGTCAAAGCAATGTAACAATGTAAAGTCCCTATTGAAACTCTGTGTTCAGCATTAGGCAAAGTCAAGGTCACACAAATTCTCTAGGGTAAAGATACCAGACTAGGAATATAGACACCTTCAGTGAGATCAGTTAAAGGTCAAAAGGCCAGGAGCAACTTGGCCTGGAATGTTTGAGTGTTCTGCAAGGGTATCTCAGCATAACCCATGACTTCACTGTAAACAGCCCATCTACCACGTAGTTTGCTTGTACCAGCAGATTAACCCCTTGTTTGAGCAATTAATAACAGCTGGTATAGGGGAACCAAGGGTACCTGAGCTCTGTATTTTGATTCACATCCTCCCTCAAGTTTACCTCTATAATAGGGAAGCTAGTAGGGAACACATGGGCTTAGTATATTCCCTTAGAACAAAAAGAGCAGCCCCATCTTAGTGCCGCTTCTAGTTGGGCTGAGAATAGCAGGATCAGGAGCAGTAGGGACTGCTTCTTTTGTTGTAAATGATGCCAATTTCAAAGTGCTCAGTAAACAAGTAGATAGAGATCTAGGGATGTTAGAGAGCTTGGTCCATCAGTGAGAGTCATCTGTAGACTCCCTAGCAGAAGTAGTCTTGCAGAATAGGAGAGGGCTGGGCCTCCTCTTCATGAAACAAAGAGGACTTTGCACGGCATTAGGTGAAACCTGCTGCTTCTATGCAAACAAATCAGGCATTATTCGAGATACCCTAGGTATGATGAGACAGAACCTCAAAGAAAGAGAGGTTCAGAGGGAAGCAAGAGCAAACTGGTATCAAGGCCTGTTCTCATGGTCCCCTTGGCTAATGACCCTCCTGACAGCCCTTGCAGGTCCCCTCGCTCTCCTGCTTGTAGTTACTGTAGGGCCCTGTGTTATAAATTGCCTCATGAGTTATATTCAGAAGAGACTAGCGGCAGTAAAGCTACTTTTCATTAGAGAACGTTACCAAGCCTAAAAAAACAAAACAAAACTGAAGGGGCAATGGTTTGACTCTGTTACAAGGAGAGGGGGGAATGTGAGGGGCTGAAGCAGCTTCAGACACAATAGGACACAAAGCTCTCTGTAAAGTTAGCCCCAGACCCTAGTCACGTACCAACTTCTGAGAAACTAAAGAAAAAGATACAAATGCCATGAGAAGCAGGATGTTCAACTAACTTCAGGCTATTTTTGCTTCCATACATTGCTTTGTTAGAGACCAGCAGTATCACGTTTCCTGCAGCAGGTGGGCAAAACCGGATGCTTAAGCGCCCCAAGCATTAAACAAGGAATATAGCTTGCTGAATTTAGGTGAAGGCAGAAAAGTTGCAAAAACTAAGCAGGATGCGGTAAAAATGCTTAAAGGGATGTTGTAACAGGGGCTCTGGCTGCACTTGGGGAGCTTGCTCCTTGGCAGTCACCGGCTGGCTAAAATACAGTCTCCCTTTTTATAATCTACTTTTCTGTTAGGACCTGTTTCCCTACTCCTGCTCCGGTGTGCCCGATCTGAGACCCATAACACTGCCGACCTTCCGTGTTCTAAAAAGTGGGAGATTCGTCCCCCGGGGGGGTGGGGGTGGGGGTTAAAACACCAACTTTCCAGTTAACAGCCGAACGCGCTAGCCGATTGCGCCACAAAGACGTCCAATTACTGCTGCTCTCGTCCTCATAGAGAACGGACCCTCATTCAGCCCTAGGCGGAGCCGCCCACCTTTGTCTCGACGGTCTTGCCGGCTCCAGAGCCTCGCAAAACCCAGGACAGCCGGTCTACACGGCGAGTTCTACGCGCTGCAACGCCGCGCGTCGGGCGATCCCGAAAAGCTTCTCCCCGACTCGCTTCACACCCACCTGGGATGTAGCGCCCTGGGACGCCAGCGCCCCGGTCCTAAGGCGAGGGGAGCCCGAGGAAAGCAGCCCGCTTGGAGGGCTCCTGTGAGGGCGCTCCCCTTGGCTCCTCCTTCCCTCGGCCGCTTGAGCCCCTGGCGCTCCCTTCGCTCCCCTCGGCCGCGGCCGCTGGGGCCGGAGCCGGAACGAGGGCAGGGGTGGGAGTGGAAGGGGGTCAAAAAGTGGCGTGGACGAGAACCATGAGACCTCCCCGCGGGCCTTCCTAGAGGCACGGGCTGGACCCTGAGGAGATGGCGATTTTTAATATTTTTAAGATGTGTATTAGAGTTGAGAGGAAGGCAGGAAAAAATGGAGAGCGAGCATGAAAGAGACAAGAATACGAATGCCTGTGGTTGTCCGAGAAGAAAGCAGCGCAGTCCGTTGCAATGACTTTCTTGGAACACGCAGTGCACAAGGGAGCACGCCGCCTCTCAGGTCGTGGTGCGCCGTGATCGTATAGTGGTTAATACTCTGCGTTGTGGCCGTAGCAACGTCGCTTCGAATCCGAAACACGGCACTCTTCTTTCCGATGCATAGCGTCTCCTTTTTCCTTTCTGTTTCAACCCTTACCTGAGGGCCAGGGAGCAGCGTTTTCCGAAATCGTTCATTAGACGCCCCCAGGAGGTCAGAATGGAAGGGAGCCCTACAGTGTGGTGTGGGTGCGCTCACCTGGGGGACGTTCTCTGATCTCTGAGGAAAAGGAATTCCCCCAAGGCGGGGAATTGTTAAAGTCAAACACAACTGGAAGTCAGACCTGAAAATTCCCTGAGCAAACAAACCAGTTAAGTCATGCAAACAGACATTAATTTAGCTTTGCAAAATAAGTGGAACTTGACTTGGGTCACTTCTTGTTAATCTGCCTGCAAAAATCATACGCGAGACTCAACCTCTTCTCCAAAATTGATATAAGGTAACCACTTTTAACCAAGTCCTGATCACTCTAAGGAATCTCTGTGAAGAACAAAACACCAACTGCCTCCTCACTGTATGAACTGCTTTATAACAATATACCTCCAAGCCTCATTCAATATTCCATTTGAGTGCTCTCTGTTCTCCCACTTTTTCCTCACAATTAGTCTTTGCTAATCACTGTGTCAGTGATCCAGTGGGTTTACTGCTGCTATTTCTGAACTTCCAACAGTGCCTCAACATCTTCATCTGCCAGCTGGAGACAACTAGAGAACTCCACTTCATTTTTCTGGTGTCATATGTGCCTGGATTCGGTGACTCCGCATTGGATAATATAGCGTCGTCAAAATCATCGGCATTGTCCTCTGATTTATTTGTTAACAACCACTGTCCAGACTCTTCACTTCACCGTTACCTCTTCTAGAACGTCATGCAAATGGAATCACAGTGCAAATACTCTTTTCTGCACCCTCTGTCTCTTTGCACAACGTCTCTGACTTTATCCATTGTTGAGGAAAGCCGAGGTCATTCCTCTTTTGTTGTTGAGTAGTATTCCATGTCAGGAATACAGCACAGTTTTGTCTGCCATTCACCTGATAAGGTGCATTTGGGCTGTTTCCAGGACTGGCTATTGTGCATAAAGCTGCTTGGAACATTCTTTCCACAAGGGATCTTGCAGATGTGTGTTTGCACTGCTCTTGGGGTGCGGGGGTGGGGGGCAAGATAGCTGAAGAATTGCTGGTATCAAAGAGTGGCAGATGCTCTGCTTCATAAAAACTGCCAAAGCTTTTCCCCAAGTGGTTGTACTGTCTATGTTCCCACAAACAATGTGGGAGAGTTGTAGTTGTTCCATATCTACACCAAGATTGGTGTGTCCTCTCATATAATATTAGGTGGGCAACTGGGAGTAGTGGCATCTCAGTGTGGTCTCAATTTCCATTGCTTGGACAGCTAAAAGTATTACAACACATTTTCATGTGCCTTCTTGGTCATGCGTATGTTGTCTTTTCTGAAGTATCTTTTCATGTCATGGGAGGCAGAGTTCCATGGAGGGCCCCCAATTTACTAAACTGATCGTGGGGTGTGATATTTTAAATTGGAGGCTGAGGGACAGCTGACTTTTTCTGCATGTGAAAGAACATGAGGAAGAGGCAGAGATACAAGGGAGAGGGGAAGAACAGGCTGGAAGCAGAAAACTGATTTTAGGGTCTGGCACTGGATGTCCGATTTTGGAGACAGAGTAGACACAAATGAGCATATCCAGGGAAGAAGAACTTCAGTGGAAACAACAGACACTCAAGGCCATTTTATGACATTTTCTATTTGTCTATACGTAATTCTTCTTCCCCACCTTTGTAGAAAAGGTCCATGTGAGCTAGAAGCGTTTTTTTGTGTTTGAATGCACACTTACGAAAGTAACCACCACATGAGAAGGATTAAAAATGGCGACATGAGAGGTGAGACAGAGGCTTCCTCCTAAAACTGCATATAATATGAAAATATAATTAATACACCTAACCCTGAGAGAGCAACAGGAAAGAGGACTGCACCAGACTGCATACACCTGGAGAAAAGAGCAGACCTCACAGAACAGAGTAACATACCAAAGCTGTGGTTTGGTGAGACCCAAGCCCTTATCCCATACCAGTTCACTGGCAGGAGGAAGAGAAACTGAGTGGGGAGGGAGTGGGAGCCTGGAACTGCTGAATACCTAGCTCCGGAGATCTGCTCTAAAAGCACAAACCTACATTTCATGGTGCTTTCAGCATACTCTTGTGATTACAGGGTTGGAAAGCTGGGACAGGTAGACTTCCTGGGGAGACTGGGATTCCAGCCCCTTGTGAAGAGCAGGGATCCATATCCAGCTGCTCTGGGACAAAAGCTTATACCTGTGTGCTTGGACCACTGGTTCAGGCAGTGGAGGCAGGCATAGCAGCCAGGAAGCAGGAAATAGCTCTTTCCTCCCCACAAGCACCAATACCACTCCCCTGTGACACCTGACATTGCCTCAGGGGCTGAGCAGCTCCAGAGAGTAGAGCTTCTGGACACTAGAGGGTGCCATATACAAATATGAAATGCCAAAGGAACCTGGTCCAGAATAAAATTATTAATACAACTCCGAAGAAAGATTTAAATGACATGGACCTTGTGACTCTTCCTGAAATGGAGTTCAAAATAAAAATTATTAACTTGCTAATGGAGGTATGGAAAGATATTCAATAACTCAGGAATGAATTCCGGTCAGAGATCCAACTGTTGAAGAGCACTATGGAGGGTATTAAAAGCAAATTGGATATGGTGGAGGAGACGATAAGTGAAATAGAAACCAGACAAGAGGAATACAAAGAAGCTGAGGCACAGAGAGAAAAAAGGATCTCTAAGAATGAAAGAATATTGAGAGAACTGTGTGACCAATCCAAATGGAACAACATTCACATTATAGGGATACCAGAAGAAGAAGAGAGAGAGAAAGGGATAGAAAGTGTCTTTGAGGAGGTAATTGCTGAAAACTTCCCCAATCTGGGGAAGGAGATAGTCCCTTAGGCCATGGAGATCCACAGATCTCCCAACACAAGGGACCCAGGAAGACAACACCAAGACATATAGTAATTAAAATGGCAAAGATCAAGGATAAGGACAGACTACTAAAAGCAGTCAGAGAGAAATAGATCACATACAAAGGAAAGCCCATCAGGCTAACATCAGACTTCTCAGCAGAAACCTTACAAGCCAGAAGGGAGTGGCATGATGTATTTAATGCAATGAAGCAGAAGGGCCTGGAACTAAGATTACTTTATCCGGCAAGATTATCATTTCAATTTGAAGAAGGGATTAAACAATATCCAGATAAGCAAAAGCTGAGAGAATTTACCTTCCACAAACCGTCTCTACAGTGTATTTTGGAGGGACTGCTATAGATGGAAATGTTTCTAAGGTTTAATAGCTGTCACCAGAGGAAATAAAACCACACTAAAAAAGTAGAACAGCTAATTACTAAGCAAATAAAAATGAAATTAACTATCCCCAAAGTCAATCAAGGGATAGGCAAAGAGTATAAAATACGATACCTCAAAGAATGGAGGAGGAAGAAAAAGGAGGAGAAAAAGAAAAGAACCTTTAGATTGTGTTTGTAATAGCATATTAAATGAATTAAGTTAGACTATTAGACAGTAAGGAAATTAACCCTGAACCTTTGGTAACCATGAATCTAAAGTCTGTGATAACAGTAAGTACATACCTATCGAAAATCACCCTAAATGTAAATGGACTGAATGCACCAATCAAAAGTCATAGAGTCACTGAATGGATAAAAAAAAGACCCGTCTATATGCTGCTTACAAGATACTCACTTTAAATGCAAAGACATACACAGACTAAAAGTGAAGGGATGGAAAAAGATATTTCATGCAACTAATAGGGAGAAAAAAACAGGTGTTGCAGTACTTGTATCAGACAAAATAGACTTCAAAACAAAGAAAGTAACAAGAGACAAAGAAGGACATTACATAATGATAAAGGGGTCACTCCAACAAGAAGATATAACCATTATAAATACCTAAGCTTCCAACACAGGAGCACCTACATATGTGAAACAAATACTAAATGAATTAAAAGGGGAAATAGAAGGCAACGAATTCATTCTAGGAGACTTCAACACTCCACTCATTCTGAAGGACAGATCAACCAGACAGAAAATAAGTAAAGACACAGAGGCACTGAACAACACATTAGAACAGATAGACCTAACAGATATTTACAGAAGTCGACACCCAAATGTAACAGAATACACATTCTTCTCAAGTGCATATGGAACATTTTCAAGAATAGATCATATATTAGGTCACAAAAAGAGCCTCAGTAAATTTAAAAAGATTGAAATTGTACCAACCACGTACTCACACCACAAAGGTATGAAAATAGAAATAAATTACCCAAAGAAAATGAAAAAATCTCACAAACACATGGAGGTTTCACAACATGCTCCTAAATAAGCAATGGATCAATGACCAAATAAAAACAAAGATCAAGCAATATATGGAGGCAAATGACAACAATAATTCAACACCACAAAAATCTGTGGGACGCAGCCAAGGCCGTGCTAAGAGGAAAGTATATTGCAATACAGGCCTGCCTCAGGAAAGAAGAACAATCCCATATAAGCAGTCTAAACTCACAATTAATGAAACTAGAAAAAGAAGAACAAATGAGGCCCAAAGTCAGTAGAAGGAGGGACATAATAAAGATTAGAGCAGAAATAAATAAATTGAGAAGAATAGAACAATAGAAAGAATCAATGAAAGCAAGAACTGGTTCTTCAAGAAAATAAACAGAATAGATAAACCCCTAGTGAGACATCAAGAAAAAAAGAGAGTCTATACACATAAACAGAATCAGAAATGAGAAAGGAAAAGTAACTATAGATACCACAGAAATACAAAGAATTATTAGAAAATACTAAGAAAAATTATATGCTAATGAACTGGATAGCCTAGAAGAAACAGACAACTTTCTAGAAAAATATAACCTCCCAAGGCTGACCAAGGAAGAAACAGAATATGTGAACAGACCAATTACCAGCAACGAAATTGAACTGGTAATCTAAAACTACCTAAGAACAAAACAACTGGACCAGATGGGTTCACCACTGAATTTAGTCAAACATTTAGTGAAGACCTAATACCCATCCTCCTTAAAGTTTTCCAAAAAGTAGAAGAAGAGGGAATACTTCCAAACTTATTCTATGAGGCCAGCATCTCTCTAATAACCAAACCAGGCAAAGACACCACAAAAAAAGAAAATTACAGAGAAATATCCCTGATGAACATAGATGCAAAAATACTCAACAAAATATTAGCAAACTGAATTCAAAAATACATCAAAAAGATCATCCATCATGGTCAAGTAGGGTTTATTCCTGGGATGCAAGGATGGTACAACATTCGAAAATACAACAACATTATCCACATCCACAGAAAGAAGGACAAAAACCATATGATCACCTCCATAGATGCTGAAAAAGCATTTGACAACATTCAACATTCATTCATGATAAAAACTCGCCACAAAATGGCTATAGAGGGCAAGTACTAGAGGGTAAGTACCTCAACATAATAAAGAAATATATAA